GGAGAGGAGTGAGAAGAAGCGGGAGAGGGAAGGACGCGAGTAGAGAAAGAGAGACAGGGGAGGCGGCGGGAGGAGAGGTGCAGGGCGACTGGAGGGAGAAGGTGAAGGGGGGGAGGAGGAAGAGGAGGAGGGGCGAGAGTGGAGGCCCAGGAGAGCGAAGTATACAGAAGAACACGAAGAGAAGAGGAGGAATAACGACCCAGGACAGGGGGAGAGGAAGACGCAGGAGGAGGAGGAGGCGGAGGCGGAAAAGGAGGAGGAAAAGGAGGAGGAGGAAGACAGAGGAGGTGGCGGGGCGCAGCGCCAGCGTCGGTCGGTCGAGGCTTCCAGGCTCTTGGTCAGGATCGACACGAAGTACCTGGCGCCAGCACGGCGGTGCAACTCCTCGCACCGCCACCGCCGCCTCCTTCCTTCCACGTGCGTTACCAAACTACTCGAAGAATCGACACTCACCCTCATTCGAGCTCACTCGCCTGACCACTTCCCCATCTCACAAGCACCTGCTCCTCATCGTCGTCCTCCGCAGTCTATCTCCACCCCAGACTCCGCCTCCGTATCAGGTCCCTCCTCCTCCGCTTAGGCCGGGCATGTCCTCCTACAAGCGGATTTGTGGGGGAACAAAAAACATACAAACCATTCTCCAGAAATCATCAGACATGGACAACACATATCCCCCAGACTATGTGTTGACTATGTTTTGAATATTCCTCCTTTGCAGTGCGGGCGCGGCCGCAAGAAACCCTCGCAAAAAAACCCAACCCTGAGAACCCGCGCGCGCGGTACACCTGAAAGGAAACCCGGATCACTCTGAACTCAACAGCTCCTTCAATGGCTGCGGGAAGTCACCGCGCAGCGCGAGGAACGACGAAACCCGGGATACCATGACGAAAACCATATGGTTTCTTGATTTGAGCAGGGACCGACCGTCCCGGCATTCCTGTAGTCCTATCGCGAAATGTTCTTAGAACCCCAAACTGTTCTAATGACCACAAACACATGTTCTCAGAACACAAACCCGATGTGTTGAAACAAGACCATATCCGCCAGAAATGTTCTGAGAACATCTTGTGGAAACCACAAGAGGTTCTCAGAACATTGTTTGGTAGGGCTATAGGCGAGCCAGGACGCTTCCGCTTCGCCACGGCTTGATTGATGCGCGCCCCCACTGTAGCGGGGCAGGCCCGACATACTCCTCCGCCCCCGCCTCAGCGTCCGTCTCCTCCTTGCCGGCACCGAGATCCGCCCCCCGAGGGTCGGGGGAAGCACCAGAGAGGGAGCGGCGGCGGCGACGGCGCGAGAGGGCAGCATGCCTCAGCAGGCCCCGGAGGATGCCGCAGGAGAAGGGGGGGATGCGCCAGGAGCAGGAGGGGGAGGAGCAGGAGGAGCAGGAGGAAGAGGAGGAGGAGGAGGAGGAGGAGGAGGAGGAGGAGGAGGAGGAGGAGGAGGGGGGAGGGGGAGGAGAGCAGGAGGAGCAGGAGGAGGAGGAGGAAGGAGGAGGGGGAGGAGGAAGGAGCAGGAGGAGGAGGAGGAGGAGGAGGAGGAGGAGGAGCAGGAGGTGGAGGAGGAGGAGGAGGAAGAGGAGGAGGGGGAAGCGATGCTCCGACCTGCCCCACGCGCTGTCCTTCGGGGAGCGCCCCCAGGCGCTGCACTCCCCCCTCCTGCCAGGCGAGGCGAGCCAGCCTCGGGCCTCAAGGGGTGCCTGAGATCGATTCCTGCACCCCTCGCTGCCACTCGGGCTTCAGAGGTGCCTGGGCTCGATTCGTGCAACCTGGCTGTCCTTGGGGAGGGCGAGGCGAACAAGCCTCGGGCTTCAGAGGTGCCTGGGCTCGACTCGTCCCACCTTGCTGCCCTTTGGGAGAAAAAAAGGGGAGGGATAATTGGGAGGGAGGGAGGCGGGACGAACGGAGGGACGGTGACGGGGGGCGAGGAGAGCGCGCCGAGAGGCGATCAACTGCAGCGTGGCCGAGAAGCTCCCCCTCTCATCCTACGCATCCCCTTTCCGCATCCTTCCTCGTCCCCCTCGCCCTCATTCTCCCCCCATGTTCCTCCTCCCCTGTCTCAGAGGGGCGAGGGGGGAAGGAGGTGGAGGAGGGAGGGAGGGAGGAAGGGAGGGAGGGAGGGAGGGGGAGGGGGAGGGGGAGGGGGAGGGGGAGGAGGAGGAGGAGGAGGAGGAGGAGGAGGAGGAGGAGGAGGAGGAGGAGGAGGAGGAGGAAGGAGGAGGAGGAGGAGGAGGAGGAGGAGGAGGAGGAGGAGAGGAGGAGGAGGAATTCCTCGTCCTCCGCCACACTTCCCCCTCCGACTCCTGCGGCGGCGGCCATCCCCCTTTCTCCTCCTTCCGGCCTCCCTTCCTCGTCCCCCGCCTCGTCCTTGCAGCTCGTTCCTCGCTCTCTGTGATTCTCGCTGCCTTCCTCGCTCGCCCCGTCGAGGGCCGAGGACAAGGGAATAACGAGCATCAATCGACGACGACGACGCCGACGACGACAGACGACGACGACAACGACGACGACAGTGGCCGCGACGACCATTGCGGCAACGACGACGATGACGCTGGCGAACGACAACGGCTAAGCGGCGGCGGTGATCACAACCCCGATGGTGACGATGTCAACGACGTTACTTATCATGGGGGACACGACTGCTGAGGAAAACGGGTCCTGGACCCCGGGGCCTTCTCCCGAGACGGATTCTTCATCCTGAGTCGTGTCCTGGCGGTCCTGGGCCCCGCGGAAGGCCCCGAGAGCCCGAACACGGCGAAAAACCTTGAGACCCGTTTCCCTTAGGATTAGGTCGGGCCTGTCCACCTACAGGCGGATTGTGGACGAAAAATGAAACATACCCCCAAAATGTCGAAACAGACTCATACATGGTACAAACATCGTCCCCAGACTATGCTTTGACTATTTTTGAATATTCCTTCTGAAGAGGGACACGCCCGACTTAACCTCAGGACCCGCTTCCCCCGTGGCGGGACACCGAGGACGCCGGCGACGACGACCCCCTCGCCGGCGGCGGCGGCGGAGGGCGGAGGGCGGCGGGGCCAGGCCGACGGAGGGCGATCGGCGGCGCATGCTCGCCGGGCGCTCGCCGAGAGCGCCGCGCGGCCCCACGCGCCGGGGTGCTGGGTGGCACGCTTTGCGTGGGGGCGGAGAGTACGCCACGAAGAGAATGAAGAAATACATCAACGATTATCCATATATATATATATATATATATATACATTGACAAAGAGACCCTCCGACGAACTTTAGCACGTACCATCAGGGAGGGCGGCGGTGCAGAAATAGCACGTACCATCAGGGAGGGCGGCGGTGCAGAAAGTCACAGGCTCTCAGTGGTGATCCATGCACCGCCACCCTCCCCTGAGCCCCCGAGGCGCAGGAACAATCCATTAGAGGGCTACACATGTTTTCATGTAGTTGTGGCGGACAGAGAACGGGGACGGTGCCCAAGAACGGGCGCTGTACAGGGCCAGCAGAGCCCGCGGTCGCGCAGGCGACGCCGGCCCCGACGGGGCCACATCTGCGGCCTCACCCGCAGCGGACCCTGCTTCCGAGCGGAAGGGACTGCAGCTTGTCTCGAAGGCAGCCAAGTAAACCCCCATGGACAGGGGGGGGTGCAATGTCCCAGCGTCGACTGGACACATGGGGCAAGGTTCGCAAATAGACGAGAGTCTTCGTCTCCGTCCTTTCCGCCCCCATGACGTCGCTCGCCCGATGTGGACGCCCGAACTGGGTACGGAAAACGTGGGCGCGATGCCCAACAACATATACCGACAGCGGCCGCTGTTGGGCAGCCGGGCCGTCTGTCTCGAATGGCCCACATCCGCGGGGACACCGACAGCAAGCCCTACTCAAGATGAACAGGAACTGCTGCCGGTCTGCCTAGAAGAAGAAAAATCGCCATAAACATAAACTGTTGGCGTTCCGAGCGGATTTCTTGGATCTGCGCTGGAACCCCCTCCCTGGCGCGCAGAGCGCGCCAGGGGCGGCGCGGGAGGCGCCCCCGGGAGGGCCAAGACGCGGATCCAAGAAATCCGCGCGGAACGCCCAAAACTTATGTTTATGGCGTTTGCTCTCTTTCTTTGAGCAGGGACCGACCGTCCCGGCATATCTATAGTCCTACCACGAAATGTTTTTAGAACCCCAAAATGTTCTAATAACCAAAAAAAGTACATGTTCTCATAACACACAACCGATGTGTTAAAACAAGACAGACTCCGCCAGAAATGTTCTAAGAACATTCCTTGGAAACCACAAAAGGTTCTTAGAACATTGTTTGGTGGGGCTATAGGCGAGCAAGGACGCTTCGCCACTGCTTGATTTCCATTCCGACCCTTTCATTCTGTACCCATTTCGATCGTCCCGACCGTCGCTCGCCCGAGACGCCTCCAGCCCCAACCACCGCCCCAGGCAGCGGCGCCGCCACGGCCGCCGCCGCGTTGTGGCCTCCGCCGCGGCCGGCGCGCCGCCGCTGGCCTCCGGGCGGCGCCGCTCGTCCAGCACCTGGAGCGACGACGGCGGCGGCGGCGACAGTTAAGTCGGGCCTGTCCCTCTACAGGAGGAATATTCACAAATAGTAAAAAAAAGTCTTGGGACGAGGTTTGAACATTTTTGGGTATCTTAGGGTATTCTTTTACTATTTTTAATTTTTCGTGCAAACCCCCCCCCGGAGGGGGACAGGCCCGCCTTGAGGCGACAGCGACGACGACAGAAGCAGCGGGCCTTCCCGCTGGAGTCCTGAAAATGGGCACCGACACCAAAACAGGGGGGTTGCCTCCACCAAGGGAAGATGATCCTGGCTTCTGGCGTTGGTGTCAGTACCTCGGCCATCTTGGCAACACGCATGTTACCACCACCGCCGAAGCCAGAATGATCTGCCCTCTGTGGGGGCACACCGCCGATATTGATGTTGGTGTCAACCGGCCTCCAATCCGGGCCCATGGGCCGAATACTTTCTCCGTGGCCCCTGGGCGGGGGCGGGCCCTCGCGCACGTGAGTACGCCCCCCCCGGACCGCGAGGCCGGCTTCCTGACACGACCGCCCGCGCAAGGCGCACTCTCGAAACCAACGTGGATCCATGCACGTGCACGTCCTCCCTTCGCTCCATGACCCCTCCGCGCCCTCCGCCCCGCGCCGCCTGCCACGGCCGCGGCGCGGCGCCAGCCGCACGCAGTCCGAGCGGCCGAGCGCCTGCCTCCAGGAGGGAAAGAAACGCACAGACACATTTCATCGTCGACTCGCATGAAAATATGGGAAAATATGGGAGGTGGGGGGGAAGACAAACGCCCAGAAGATATGGGAAAATATGGGGAATCCTTTTATTTGTGCATATTTACTTGTGTGTCCCAGGGCCCCTTCATGCCTGTCCAGCACGCGCGACCGCCGCGAGAGGTCGAAGGGGGGGGGGCGCTGCGCCGGGCGCCGCGGCGCGCCCTGCCGCCGTGCGCCCGGCGCTGCGCCGCGCCAGCGTCACAGGTCTGCGCCTCGGCGGCGCCCCCGGGTGCGCCCCTCCTGCCCTCGCTCGGAGGCCCCCTCTCCGCCGTGCACCGTTCGGTGCTCTGCCCTCGCTCCCCCGACCTTCCAGAGAGCTACTTTTTAGCACTGGAGGCCTAAAAACTTAAAAAACGGAGCGACACAGCCTAAAACCAAGACGTAGAATAGCTCTAGGACAGGTTTCTAGGTGGGGAACTATTCTTTGGCCCTCCTGGAAGGTCAGGGTCGGAGGCCCCCTCCCCGTGCACCGTTCGGTGTTTTGTTTGTTCGCCTCCCGCGGGGCGATCCAGCGTGCTCCTGGCTGGTCCAGACTCTCGGGCGCCGGCCTCGCCGGCGAGAGGAACGCGCGTGTCCCGGCGATGCCGCAGCCCCTGGTGCGTTCCGGACCAAAAATAAAACATAGAACAAAAATACTCAAACATTGTCAAGAAATGCGAACCAATGGTCCCCTGACAATTTTTTTGACTATTTTGAATATTTCCCCTGTAGATGGACAGGCCCGACCAAAACTACCGTGAAAAGCGCTGCGTAAGACGCGGAAGAGGAAACTCTGGTGCGCTGCGCCCGCCGCTGCGCCGCGCCCACCGCTGCGCCGCCTGGTCCGGGTGGCCCGGCTGGCGACGCGAGCAGAGTCCAGGAGGCGGAGGACCAGTGTAAACCCAAGACTCCTCAACGATAGTGAAATACACTCTCCCCTCCAAGCTCCCTCTTCATAGGCCCCTACAAAAAAATGCATGTCCACGGAAAGGAAAGAATTGCCCCGTATGGGAGCAAACGTGTGAAAATCCTGAAGCGCACCGAAAAATGAGTCTCAAGGCTTCAACGCCAGGGGTTAACCTGACTGGCACGTCTTGGCGATCCGGAATCGTGCCAGAACACCATTCCTGGGACTTCAACACCGAGAATTCGCGTGATTGTTGCCCCCTGACATCTTGAACCGTTCCACAAGACAATTCCTGTACGGTAGCCAGCCATGAAACTCTGCCGAATTCTTGTTAACATTCAAAACGAATGTGCGCGGCGCTAAGGTGACAACTAAACGTTGAAAAAGATCCGTCTCAATCCGTGAAACAATTGCAATGTTTGACAACGAATGCGCACGGCGCTTAAAAACCAGCCCTCCTCAAGCCGTGACACTCGTGCACCTGCTTAAAACGAATGCGTGCGGCGCGAAATCGAGAACCACATGTTGGACCCGCCCTCAATCCGCGTACGTCTTGCAATGTTGAAAACCATGTGCGCGGCGCTCAGGCGAGAACCACATTTTCAAAACCACCCGCCCTCAATCCGCGAAGCTCTCTTGCATGGAAAAAACGAATATGCGCGGCGCTAAGGCGAGAGCCACATTTAAAAACGGCCCGCCCTCAATCCGTTCAACCTCTGCACTGCTTATAACGAATGTGAGCGCGCTAATGCGAGAGCCACTTCTTAAAAACCACCCGCCCCCCATGTGTGAAGAAATCGGAAGTTGGGGGGTGAGATCGCAGTGGAACGTTGACCCCCAACCGGGAAATCGTTTCGTTTCGTTCGTGTCGTGCGTGCGGGCGAGGCGAAGCTGCCTGGGCGCACAACAGGAATCAACCCGCCGTTGCTGGCGAATTAAAAAAAACTGATTATCCCCCTCCCTCCCGCCCGTCCGGCGGTGGCTCGCGGTGTCCCGCCGTGTCCCGTGGTGTCCCGTGGTGTCTGCCGTCGCAAGGGCGAAGTCAAGACAAATGATTCTCCCCCTCCCGCCCGTCCGGCGGTGGCTCGCACTGTCCCGCGGTGTCCCGTGGTGTCCTGTGGTGTCCGCCGTTGCTAGGGCGAAATCAACACAAATGATTATCCCCCGCCCGCCCGTCCGTCCGTCCGTCCGGCGGTGGCTCGCGGTGTCCCGCGATGTCCCGTGGTGTCCCGTGGTGCCCCGTTGAGTGAGATCGATAGTGAGATCGATAGTGAGATTGATACTGAGATCGATGTGGTGCCCCGAGGTGTCATGTGGTGTCCCCAAAAATGAAATATAGTGAGATCGATAAAGAGATCGACAGGTGTCCCGTGGTGTTCCGTGGTGTCCCGTTGAGTGAGATCGATAATGAGATCGATAATGAGATCGATGCGGTGCCCCGAGGTGTCCGTGGTGTCCCGTGATGTCCCGTTGGAGTGAGATCGATAGTGAGATCGATAATGAGATCGATGTGGTGTCCCTGGTGACCCGTGGTGTCCCATGGTGTCCCGTTGAGTGAGATCGATAGTGACATCCATAGCGAGCCCGATAGTGAGATCGAGAGGTGTCCCGCGGTGTCCCGTGGTGTCCCGTGGTGTCCCGTTGAGTGAGATCGATGGTGAGATCGATAGTGAGATCGACAAGTGTCCCGTGGTGTCCCTTGAGTGAGATCGATAGTGATATCGATTGAGTCAGATGTTGGTTCCCCCCCCCTCCCCCCCCCATAACCTCCTTACCACCCTAAGGGGGGTGGTCGTATAGGTTGTCAACTCTCAGGCTACAGGATCATGAATGGTGAGGAGGTCTCAGGCGAAACGCCAAGCCCGCCCTAACGATCGGCCTTGAGGTGCGACAGGGAGGAGTTATCTGTGAGGAAAAGGAATGGGGAGGATGATGAGGAGGAGGAGGAGAAGGAGGAGGAGGAGGATGAACAGGAAAGGAGGAGGAAAAGGAGGAGGAGGAGGAGGAGGAGGAGGAGGAGAGAGGGAGGTAGGAAGGGAGGGAGAGAGGGGAGGAGGGATGAGGAAAGAGGAGGGAAGAGGAGGAGGAGGGGGAGGAGGAGGAGGAGGAGGATGAGAAAGGGAGGTAGAGAGGGAGGGAGGGAGGAGGAGGAACGAGGAGAAGGAAAGAAGAGGAAACTCGTGGCAACGCTCGGCCCTCCCTGGGCCCCCCTGGGCTCCAGAGGGCCGTCACATCAACGGCTCGGGACAAAGAGCTGGCCCCAGGGAAGGTGCCCCGACCCATGTCCCTGGGGGGGCCACGCTCTAGAACAAATGACCCTGAAGATGTACCCAAACCCTTGCGCAACGTGTGGCCGAATAAACTTGGAAAGAAGTACGGGGGGGTAACGTGGCAAGGACCTAGATTAGTTGCGAGCGCTGGCTCGCCGAGCTGCGCGACTCGCAGGGCACCGAGCGATCGGCAAGGGTTTGATGGAGGTGATGCAGTCTTTCCTTGGCTCGAAAAGATAGATAAATACTCCCCCCAGCAGCCCTCGAAAGTGGCAGCACCTTCCCAGATCGCACAACTCCAAAGGGAAAAGCGAGTTGTTATCTAGTTTCGCGGCAGATGCCCATCACAATGAGTCTGGGTAGGGCCCCCACTATGCTGGCCCTCCCCACAAGCCCTTGATAGTGGCGACAGATTAGCCCATCGCAGCCCCTCAGGGATAGCGAGGTCTAGTCTGAAACTGGGCAGGCCCCCCCCATGCTGGCCCCCCAGCAAGCCATCGAAATTGGCGACATGTTCGCCCATCGCAGCCCCTGAGGGATGGCGAGGTCTAGTCTGAAACTGGGTAGGGCCCCCACTATGCTGACACTCTCCAGCAAACCCTCGCACTTGGCGACAGTTTCGCAGATCGCAGCCCCCCAGGGATGACGAGGACTCTGAATCCGCGCATGGCGTCACTGGGATGGCCCTCCCTAGAAAGCCCTCGAAAGTGGCGACAGTTTCACAGATCGCAGCCCCCCAGAGATGGCGAGTTCTAGGCTGAATCTGGGTTGGGCCCCCACTGTGCTGCCCCCCCCCCTAGCAGCCCTTGAAAGCGGCGACAGCTCCGCAGATCGCAGCCCCTCGGGGATGGCGAGGTCTAATCTGAACCTGGGTATGGCCACACTGTGCTGACACGCCCCAGGAAGCCCTCGAACTTGGCGACAGTTTCGCAGATCGCAGCCCCCCAGGGATGGCGAGCTTGGAGGCATGTACGAGAGATGTACGAGACCAGGGGAGAGAAAGAGAGAGAGAGAGAGCACAAACAAAGAAATAAACATACCATAAGCAACGATAGAGCAGGAGAGAGCGAGCGAGAGAGGGAGAGCGAGAGACAGAGAGAGCGAGCGAGCGAGCGAGCGCGAGAGAGAGAGAGAGAGCGAGAGAGAGAGAGAGGACAACAAACAGAGAAGGAGAGAGAAAGAGAGAAGCGAAAACAGAGAGAGAGAGAGAGAAAGAAACAACAAAAAACGAGGGAGGCGGGAAGGAGGACACGCGACCACAGTGCTCTTTTCGAAACGAGAACCACGCAACGCAGGGCCGGGGAACAGCCACGACGTGGGCGGCCTGGGTGCGCCGGCCCGCGACCACAGGGCCAGGACTCTCCAAGGCAGTCTCCTCCCTACCACTGGCACGCCCGAGTGGTCCGGGATGACTGCGGGGCGGGGTGAGTCCCCTGACCTTCCAGGGGGGCTAAAGGATAACACCAGGACGTCGACGCCCGAATTCCTGTCGAGGTTTGAGGCAGTCCAGATAGATCTAGAAGTCTGGAGCGTTCTTTTGAAGCACTCTGGAAGGCCAGGGTCGGGCGTTTGCAGAACTGAGTTCAATGGGACCTGGTTGAGTGAGATATACCGGTGGGACCCTCCCCCCCGCCCCGTTCCACTAACCAGAACTGCCGTCACCCGAAGAAACACCAGCTGCGGCAGACCTGGTCTGTGATTCTGGCCGATTTAGGGGCTCCGGGGCCCTACCACTAACCGGGTTCCCTTACCGGGGTCTGGTCTGAGTCCGCAAGAAACCTTCCACAAGAGACCCGACCCTGAGACCCCAGGACGTCCACCGATTGTTGGTGTGGAAGCGTCACGATTCCCAGAGCAGAACCATCGACACCCAGGCAACCCAGGGCACCCTGGAGGCAAGCAAGGTGCTTGTTGGCATGGGCCCCCTCTGTACCCCTCACTGCCCCCAGCCCCGATGACTCGGAGCTCTGAGCCTCGCTCTTCCTCCCGTCCCTCCCCTCCCTGGCCCCTGGTGCCCCAACTCCGTGCTCTCCTGCCCGCCGCCATCCGGCATCCC